TAAAATTTCCAGAATTTAGAATCATTTAAGATCCGGAGACTTTAAAAAATGACTTGAATTTGAGATTTAGATATAGTAATATTATGCATCGGCATCGTGGATCTAAAATTAAATTGTCAGTCTGAGCAACCTCTGGTTAAAGATCGGAAATTACTTATAAACTCATTATTTTATAAAAATCTATCCATTCAAAGTTGCTCGATTGTTTGTTTCTTATTCTTTACAAATAGATTATAGTTATATATAAAATATGAAAATATTTCTGAAGTATTTCACTTGAGGTTTAACATCATTTTTGAAACTTTGCATAATGGGTATTCAAAAATGTTGCACTTATCTTAACTTTTTCATGGTTTTAGCAAAGCTAACGACTTATTTGCTTAACGGCGCCGGTGGTGTAGTGGTAAGCGTGATTACCTCTCACCCCAGCAGGGCTGGGTTCAATCCTAGTCGGCGCCGTCGACTTGTTTTGAGGCATAACATCTCCTATCACACCTTCCTTCGGAAGGGAAGTAAAGCCGTTGGTCCCCGGTTCATGAGTTGATGGGTCGATAGGTACCCGAACAAAGTACAGCATCAAAATGGCAGCAAATTGAAATCAAGTTTGTATATCAACATCAAACTGAAATCATAATTTGATTTCAGTTTACGCAATTGACAAATTTGATACCTAATTTTGTTTTCATTTTGCTGTACATTTGCTCTTCAGAAATATGTTGTTTTCATTGCCTTAGCATAACATCAAATTAAATACTTGTTTTGCTATCAACAGGAAAAATGGATATCAAATTAAGTTTTTAGTTTGCTCTCACTGATAGCAGAAATAGTTTTCAATGTGATGTCACAGGAAGATTTGTTTGCTCTCAATTGTGATATTTGACGACCAAAACGACAGCAACCTGAGTAATCATTATCAGCGAAATCACAACATCAAATTTAGATTTCAATTTGATCTCAGACTTTGCTCGGGTAGGGTCCAGGTGTGGGAGCTGCCTTCCTTGCGTCGGTAGCATTGGTGCTCAGCACGGAAAACAAGACCGACGGAAAACAAACCAGAGAAAAAAAAAAAACTTATTTGCTTTATATAAAATATTTAGACTTGCAAATATTATGGTAATCAAAAAGAATCTGAAACTTTAAATAAATTCCAGACGATTATACTGAACGATTTTTTCGGGAGATTAGTACATCAATTTGATTTCAATAACATTAAAAAGGACTTTTATGTAGTTTGAATTTTTCAGAACATGCCATATTTGGTAACGCTGATCATGAGCAAATTTTCTTGAAAACACCATCGTTTTATACTACTACAGTGCTTTTCCGCTTTTGGCAACACTTGATTTTGTTTTTTTTTAATTCAATGAACGCTTACTGTTTTCACAACCTCAGACTCAGGTTTGTTAAAATTGAGCAATTTGATGTTTTGACAAGCAAAGGAATAGTTTATCTCCGTTTCCCATACAAACTTTAAAGTTCTCCAGCAAAATTTAGCTGATTGTGCAGCCCAGTAAAATTGAAAATGATGTTGAAGAAAAATTAATCATTCCTCATTATTGTACGGCTGTTAGCGATTTTCTATTTTACATAGTGATACAAATTCTGCCAACAGACCTCCAACAACTTCTGCAACTTCTAGAACTACTGGTTCTCAAAGAAATTAAAACATTCAAAACTACAAAAACTTCCTAAACAACTATGAAATCCTGAAGTTTCGATAGTCAAGAAGGCTTCTTAAGTTCCGGAAGTTTCTATAGTTTCTGGGATTTTCGAAGATTATGGTGTTTCAGCACTCAACTCTACTCAAGCTTATCTGTGCACCTCCAGTAGCACCCAGCGTCAACGTGAAAGGCTTCCATCCTTGGCAACTGTTTATTTTTGACTTAACCTGAGCCTAGGTAAGATTTATATCGGCTTTCTTGATTTCTTTGTTGAGGCTCCGCTACAATGAGTCCCTGGGGTCAGGAAGTTCATTGAAATCCTGGAGTTACAATATGTGTCGAGTTTATTGGTAGTTACTAGATATTCTGGGAGATTCTACCGCTCCTAAATTTGATCGAAAACATTCGTAGTTGAGCTATAAGAATCAAATTACGCTTGTAATCTGAATAAAGTTCCGATTGCCCTAAAAGCGGTCTTATTATTGAACTGATTCTATAGCCCTTGCAACGCTTATAGTGTAGAATAATTGTATAAATTGCAAGAATTTGCTACCTTGACGGATATTAGATTGAACGCCCTTATTTGACTTATTGCGTCCCAACTGGGATTTTACGCTGGCTCTCATCTTAATATTCTTTGAGAACTTCTACAGTTGTTAAAGTAGAGCTATCTAAGCCTGTACAATTTTTGCATTAGTACTATTGTGTGGCAAGTACAATGCTACATGGAGCGTAGAGCCTAGTGAAGTTGAGACAGGCCGGGAATCGAACCCAGCTACCTTCACTTACATAATAAAATCTCAGATTAGGAAAAAGATTCGAGCGAACGTAGTTAAGGACAGGAATGATAGAAATCACAAATGGCCGCTATCATGGCTGATTTTACAAGGCGAATCAGCTATGACAACGGCAATTTATGGATTTTATCAACCTTGTCCTTACAGCTCCAGCATAAAAAAAATGTTGTTTTGGAAAATTGGAAAAAATAGGGGCAATCCAAAAATGACGATTCTGTGACACTACCCCGAACGCCATAACCCCGAACGCCGTTACCCCGAACGGTACACTACCCCGAACGCCGTTACCCCGAATAGTACACTACCCCGAATGGCCATTACCCCGAATGGCGACTACCCCGAAATTAAGACAAATAGAAGAACAGCAAGGGATAAATTTTCGAGAAGGAAATTTTCTTTTCTAATTAACCACTTCATTCGAGCACTTAAAATGACGTTTACTACCACTCGAACTTTGAAATAAAACATTATTTTGAGATTTTTTCTTCTAGAACCTCGAGAAAAGTAGCCAACATTTGTGCGTTTTATAATTAAAAATAGAAATTAGTTGGTACAGTTTTGTGAAATCGCTGGTAGAAAGTCACGTCAAAACTGCTTGGCAAAGTGGTCAATTTATACTGAATACAAATGATAGGATTCTATAACATTCCCCAGAATGCACCATTCCCCAGAAAAGCATTTCCCAGAATGAACCATTCCCCAGAATGTACCATTCCCCAGAATACTATGCCATGTATTAGATTGACTATTTTTGTTTATTATAGTCATTCCTGGAATATTCTTTCGCGTATATAAAAAGAAAAGAAAAACTTATTAGGATATGTTTATAAATTACGTAGACAGTTTAGGGAAGGGGGGGGGTTTGGCAATTGTGCACGGTCCATACAAATTTTAAAAATTTTGTATGGAAAATTGTCTACGCAGGGGAAGGGGGGGGGGGGTCAAGAATCCCAAAAAAAAACTGTCAAGGGGGTTTCCCATCTTTGAAAATATAACAATAGGAAATAATTAATTCTTTGGATATACGATAAAGAAGGGAATATTCCCTTCTTTTAATATATAAAAGAGAAAATAATCAATTCGTTAAATATATGATAAAGAAGGGAATATTCCCTTCTTTGAAAATATAACAAAAGGAAATAATTAATTATTGGATGAACGATAAAGAAGGGAATATTCCTTTCTTTGAATATATAAAAAGAAAATAATTTATTCTTTGGATGTATGATAAAGAAGGGAAGGGAATATTCCCTTCTTTTAATATATAAGGAAAATATGTAATCAATAGCTTTTGGCAAGGGATTCGGGGTAATGACCATTTGGGATAATAACGTGTGGAATAATGTTATAAATTTGTAATCGATAGTTCAACGTTCCATGCACCGATTTTTCAATCCATAACGAGAAATTCTTCAACTCAGGTCTAGACTCAGGTCGAACAATTCTTTGATAAGGTTTAACAGTTTCCGACTGGTATTGCATATTGAATTGGATTGCATATTAGACCCTTTGACTTTTTAAATGGTGAACGAAGTGCTCGAAAACCTGAAGGTTGTCATTTTCTAAAGAGCTTTGAAATGGTTTGGAATTGATAAATACATAGTTCCATAAAAGTAAACGTAGTGTATCATCAATTTAGTAAAGTGAAACTAATCAGAGCGTTTAATCACAGACAACAGACATAACACTTTGAAAAAGTTTTTCTTGAAAACATAGTATCTCAAAACATAGGACCTCAGTAACGACATATCTCGGGCTTCTCGCGTAAAACAAGCTTGCTCGCTTGCAAGCTTCAAAATTCCAATAAAAAATTATCATTTAATAATATAAATATATATATAATAAATTTCAAAACGAAATTTCCTTCTAAAAATGTACCCTTCTTTTGCTGTTCTTTCATTTGTCTTAATTTCGGGGTAATGGCCATTCGGGGTAGTAGGGCATTCGGGGTAGTAGGACATTCGGGGTAGTGGCATTCGGGGTAATGGCGTTCGGGGTTATGGCGGTCGGGGTAGTGTCACAGAATCAAAATGACACCGTCTCCCCCCCATCGTAGCGTATTTTACTATACCAAATCATGACCGGTCACAACTTCTGAACCTCCCGCTGCTCCATCAAACGTTACGTCATTTATGCAAGTTCTTTAAGATGATTAAGGTTTTGCGTGTTTATTTTTGACAAATTTTTGGTTTTACAAACGTGTGGATTGAAAATTGGGATATCTGTAGTAGCCCTGAGTAGTATGGTAGTTTGTTATGAGATCAGGTCATTTATCCGGAACAAAAAAAATCATAGTCAGTATGTCGAGCTGGTCTATCTCCATTTGGATGGAATCAACATTAACGCGTTTGAATTATGGAGTTCATGTTTTAAGGTTTATGGAGATTAAAATTAGAAGCAAGTATTGATCTATAGACAATATTTCAAAACAATTTCCTGCAGAGCTATGCAGCATATGACAAGTATCTGAAATTAACTGAACTGGGATTTGAATTTAAATACAAGATTGAATGATAATATGAATATGGTGTAGGTACGTTACCTTTTGCCTGCTGCCATTGTCGGTTTCGGAGATGCTCACTGGCCTGACTTTCGGTCATTGTACTGCTGTAGTTGTTGCAAATGATGTCGTGTGTTCTCACAATTGTCGAAGCGAGGACGACAACGACCACGGCGTTGGGAACGTGTATCGGCCAGCGCTGTCTGTTTCACACTCATCCGAACCACGAATGCTGGAGATCTTCCGGATGTGTTCTATCCGGAAGAATTCTCAGCTCTGTTTTGCACTACTCACAGACGGAAACGTTCAGCACGTTTTTGGATTACAAACACAAAACACTCGCGTAAACTCAGCTTATTTTTACAATGGAAAACGACGTCTGCTTTTGAGTCTAGTCAGGGAAATTTCTTTAAATTTATAAGATTATTTTTCGATTCCAACACTATGCTGTGTATAAGCGGCGAATTGCACGAATCGGAAACTCCTTGATGTGATTCCTGTGAGAAAACATAATAAACAACATTTTAGAAACAATTCCAGCATATATAAATACTTATGTCAACAACAAAACATTATGAAAGCTCAAATGCAGAGGGTTTATTAGCCTTAAGTTTCACATTGAATCAACTTTAACAATAATTCGATATTTTCAACAAGTATTACTGAATAGTAACGATATAGTTTCTGTCCCTCATGTAAACTATACTTTTCGAATTCAAAACAAAACCTTTGCTCTTGGATTCGGCACCGAATAAGTTAATAATCGGAAGTTGCTCTCATCGCTTTTCCTCCTTCTGCGAATGGTGACGACCTAGCAAATGAAAATATGGTGCTTTTCGAAAATTCACTTTTATGGTGTAGAAATCGCTACTATCAGTCAACAAATATGTGAATGGTATTCAGTATACTAGGGGCAATGAACTTACCGTTCGCAAAGAAACTAAAAAATAGATTTTCACCGAGAAAAGTTACATTTTTGTCATCAAAATTCTACGTGAAACAGAAAAGACGTCGTTTTTTACACCTTTGACACAATGGACGACTTGCGGGCGAGATACAGAAAGACACGCACACAACCAAACAGGAACTGGCATTTCGTTTTTGTGTTCTGTTCACCCCTGTGGCTGCTAGCATTGCATATACTGAATATTTTGGTTCATGTTTACCATAATTTTATTTGACAACCCGCATAAACGCGAACCATAAATTGACCTTACCTAAAATGGTTAAAAATTGTTTATAATCCCTGCTAAACTTTAAATGAAATGGTTATGGAACTTTACATGAACGTTTAATGATAAAGTTTCAACCTTATGTATTATGGTTTTTTGGAACTGGACCTTACAAATAATGGGTTGTTAAGAACCATTACCGTTCCAAATTCTTGTTGTCTCCATACATTTTCGGAAAGAGAACTATATTAGAACCTTTTAACTTATGGTTTGAGAACTTTAATGGTAATGGTTATGGTAGTCAGTAAGGTCCACGAATGGTTTTGTAACATCGATCAACTTTATGTGGAATTTATCGCGAATTGGTTGTCTGTAATTTACTGATTACCAATTCACGATATATTCCACGTAAAGTTGAGCGATAATTCAAAACCATTAATGGACCTTACTGACTACCATAACCATTACCATTAATGTTCTTAAATCATAAGTAAAAACGTTCTTATATAGTTCTCTTTCTGAAAACGTATGGAGAAAACAAGAATTTGGAATGGTAATGGTTCTTAACGACCCATTATTTGTAAAGTCCAGTTCCAAAAAACCATAATACATAAGGTTGAAACTTTATCATTAAACGTTCATGTAAAGTTCCATAACCATTTCAGTTAAAGTTAAGCAGGGATTATAAACAATTTTTAACCATTTTAGGTAAGGTCAATTTATGGTTCGCGTTTATGCGGGAAGTCGGTTAGAAATATAGGGTTGATTTCATTTTTTTGACGTAGGACTACGGCTTTGATTTCTATATGGGGGTACACTTTGTGAAAACCGAAAATGAAACATGTAACAAATTAAGAAAGATTTTGAACGTTAATAACTCAGCTGCCCCTGGTCCAATTTCAATAATTTTATCACCAATCGATCAGAAATATGGCTACGCATCGATTAATGCTTCCGAATGTTGATTTTCAACAAAAAACTATTGAAAAACTGGTTAATGTCCAGCATTGTCCAAAAGCGTCGAATTAACTAACAAATCCACCAATTACCTACATGCATATGCTGCTTCCCCAGCACAGTCGTCAGAGAGTAGTAAGTAGACGAAACAAGTCGAAGTGGCATTCGCCTCCGATCCTCGGGCGCGTGCAAATAGGGAGGATGGAATTGCGTAATATTTTGCACTCTCATCGCCATATTCAGAACCAAACGCAAATTCTTCAAGATAACCACCATCCGTTGTCTGGCTCGCCGTGGCGGTGTCTGACGTATCTCCGGTCTGATTTACGAGGTGTGCTGAAGGTGTTCCTGAAAAATGCGATCCGTGATGCTGTCACCTACAATAAACACGCCAAGCGTAACATGGATGTTATCTAAGTTTTGAAGTGACAGAGACGCACTATGTTTGGTTTCGGAGGTTAAATCATCACCAACTTTGGCAACAAAACGGCTCTTTTCAGGGCCACCAAGCTTATTACAGTAAATAGTAGGAATAGAATTCACTTGTTTGTCAATATTCAGAACCAACGACCACACAAAATGCTCATGTAATCAAACTGGAAGGGGTACACATTATTTTGATCAACCTTGATCAACTTTGAATCGGCACAGCCGGATATTTTCGATGGAAGAAGCAACAATCTAGCATCTAATTCGACAAAGACGGCAGGAAACATTTGTGAAGCTGAGTTATTTACGAAAGAGAGTGTCGATGAAGAGAATCGATCAATGTAGATAGGAACTGGGTCTGGCGAAGTCGAATCGCAGCCAGCTTCAGACACTATCCAAGACGCATTGCAGCAAGCTTTACTCTGTTCGAACGGTTGTCAAATTACCCCAAGGCGTCTGCTTATTAGTTGACTTAAACAATTTATGAATAATCAGCAATGGAAATTTGCCAAAAGGTATAAGGAGATTTCTATCCGTGTAGTCATTTTTCAGTTCACGTTGAAGGTGATAACGTTCTCAAATGGTTCTGCAAACATCGTCCGCTCATTGGTTGAAAGAAGTATATAAGCCTGCCAGAAGTGGAATCATAGCCTGCCATAAATAGCAACCCTGTATCGATTAGCCAATAAACTGCTGATGCACAGTAATTTCTTCTATCTGTTCGACTTAACGGTTAAAGCGTTGAATATAACAATTCCGGTGGACCCAAGTTTTAGCCACTTAACAAAGATCAAAACGTCGGGTAATGATAAACCTGGGTTTCGATAATGATAATGTTATGGTACACAGCAAAAAAAAAATGTAATATCGATCAACGTAATTCAAGCTGATGTATGAAATAATGATGTAATAGCAAAAAGCAGATACAATATTACATCAATGGATGTAATTTTGTTCACAAAATCGATGTACATCGTACAATGTGATATTACACAACCGATGGATTGACCTGGTTGCAGCAGTTTCGATGTAATATTCAACAACTTTTTTTGCTGTGTACTGCTTTTGCTTTAATTAAAACTTTAATTTTTATTTGAAAACAATTATATTAAGCATTTAACGAAAAAGAAGCAGAAAATACATTTCCTCGAATAAACCGTATGTATGCATTGCAAGCATATTTCGAGTTTATACTATGGCAGGTATAAATCATTTTATACTAAGTCTGTATTCTCTCCTTTTATACCGACCTTTGCGTCGGCACGGAGAGGTGCGGTTTAGCGTAACTTTTATACTATTTAGCTTCCAATATTTTTTGAGTGTTGATCGGATTCATGTCGATGTTGTTCATTAGTCAACTTGTCACTCCCAACACGGATAAAAATCTCCTTATACCTTTTGGCAAATTTCTATTGCTGATTATTCATAAAATGTATAAGTCAACTAATAAGCAGACGCCTTGCAAAAAGTTAATGAAGCTCATGTGTCAAATGAAATGTATAAGCGGTCACACATACCTTTTATGCATTCTTGTAGGACCTATGTGGTTTGTCTTATGGAATGTATAAGGCTGATGCTTTGGCAAAAATGTATAAGTGAAACACATGAATAAAATAATTGATTTTCGTTTCGTGAACACAGTTTACCCATTTTTGAGTAGGTTCAGTTTTGACCGTTCTGGGTGTGTTCTACCCAAATTTGGGTAGTTTTGAAATAGCGTGTAGTGAGTATAATATACGATAGTTTGCGTTGGTGTCATATGGGTGGCGAGAAAAGGGCATAAGAAGGTTTGTTTACAAAAATCTTGTATGCCCTTTTCACATGTTGTTCTTGATATGAGATATTTTCAAATTTGAGGCAATTGAACTTAATTTTGGGTAGAAAATACATACGAGTAAGTGATTATTTTTGCCGTAGCCAAATGCAAACTACTTTCAGCGGTTTACTGAAAATTAGCTTATTGAACGGAACATGGGAGATGAGTGAAAAGAACTTAATTTTGGGTAATTTTTCGGTTCCGTGTAATGCATCGGACGAAACTGAGTCGACCGACTCACCCGGTGAGTAAGCTGAAGTAAGCGTGTATGTATTTTGACTGATGGGTTGCTCACTGATGCCTTTGCGTCGTCGTTCAGTCAATCGGTTTTGTAATCATTTTGGTTTTCTAATTTTGCTGAAAAGTTTTGGTCAAAGTTTAGAATTTTCATGATATCATTGCGGGTTTTTTTCGGCGTTGTGCCGAGAAGTGGTTTAAGTTTAACTCATCTACGACGGTTCAACGTTAAAAGTACACCACGGCTTGGATTTCCGTGCGCGTATTCCGATGAAGAGACCCGCAAAATACTTAGCACCCTAAATGAGGAAGATGTGGATCAGCTTTACAAGTAAGTACCAATCTTATAGTCTCCAAACGTTGGTGATATTTACGATGTTGTGACTGCTTACAGATACAACATATCCAAGTATCGTTTGAAGAAAATCGAAGGCTGGCGTAAAAAGTTTGGGGCATTCATGTCGCTTGATCAAGTACTGGAGCTGGATGGATTTGGAATAACCGTACTACGTAAGTTCTATGATTCTATTGTTGAGAGCCCACAAACTACAGAAGTTGACGCACAGAAAGCGATAAAAAAAGATGTTAAAATAACCACACCAAACTTCCCGGTCAATGTTATCCCAAAAGTTCAGAGCTGCGTTTCGCTGTACGTGGGACTGGACTTTGTAACATGGGCAAAATTTAAAGTAGTAAAGGATGAACCGACAATCCTGACTGGGTGGAGTAGTTTCGAAATACACGACCGTAAATTGCACGTGAGCGAACTGATTCGCAACGTAATTCAAATCAATCAGTTGATACCGGAAGCTGATGTGTACGTTGTGGAAAACCCAGCCTTGGCTCAAGCTGTGGCCATGGGAAGTGCAGCTCAAACAAATATCAATGTTCAAAAGTCTCAACTTATCGCAATGATCATGCTTATGCTGTCTAATCGAGTCCCAGAACATGCTGAGATTTTTCCGAATGTCTACTTCCTGAAGCAGTACACTTCTGCAAGGTTATTCGGGATTTTCATCGGTAATGAACGTGTATCAGCTGACAGTGTTGTCCGATCATTGATGGAACGACAGATAGGACCCAACGAAGAAAGTGTCGAACACGTTCAGTCAAAAATAGTAATACCTTCTGGTTTAAAAGTGGTGTATGAAGAGAATGACAGTACAGAACGCGAGTTTTTAGGTCAGTCAATGTTGCTCGGATTAACTTTCTTAAGGCTATGCGTTTTTAAATGCGAGGACAGTCTGAACATTTTTCGGCGATGATCCTCGGCGGGTGTGTAATACAGTATAATAGTTAAAAAAGATAATGTATTGTTTGTTGGAATGTTAACGAAAGTTGATAATTTATTTTCTAAAACAATCTGAAAGCCGTATATATTATCTACAATTAAGAAAAAAGCTATGTATATGTATAAATCTACGTCGGTTGACGAAATAAATAAATCTAAAATCTGAAATGTGAAATGACACCGGATACTAAGTAAGTAAGCTTTTCCGCGCAAAATAGATAACATTATTTTTAGTTAAAAACCTTAACATATAGGTACAATATTTTAAATGAACAATTAAATCTGCGCTCAGAGTCAACAATATTTGTAGGATTGTGCTACATCGCCCGACTGTCTCATTTTCCCGAACGCCATTACCCCGACTGTCCCATTTCCCCGAATTTTCCATTTTTCGTTATGTCCCATTCCCAACAAACAATTTGAGCTGATTAAAAGCTTAATAAGCAATTTTTTAGTTGAACAAGTAGATTTTTGCTTGACTAAGCTTTTATTCAGCTTCCGTGCTGATGTTTTCTGGGTTACCTCGAATGCCATATCCTCGAAAAAATGCTTATAATAAGTAAATTGTCTCTAAAACTATTCAAAAAGTATCATTCCCCGAAATAATCCAGAAACTAATTTTTATTAGGTTGATATTTGTGTGCAGATGAGCTGATCATTTTAATTGCTTGGTTCTGTTGTGGCACGTGCGTAGCATGTTTTTTTGCTATGGTATTAGCAAGAATCTCACACTCAATAGTTTTTTTTCTGAGCTATACCGTTTGTCAGCTCAGATCAGCAAATGACGTTCGATAGAATTATTTGCATCATTGTTTTGAATGATTTGCGTTATGGGGTTGAACCAATACCATATGCATTTCCATTTAGTATGGAGTATGACAGTCATTCTACAGAGAGCATTACGCATTGGCGTTGACGGCGACTCTGTAGCTCTTTACTCCTATGAGAAAATCCATAAGCAAACGTCAGACTGTGCGTGAAACATGGCGGACTTTGTACTATCCTTTCACTCCACCGAAAATTCCCATAAGAAACTGTCTAAATTTGCTGGAAGAGCAAATTTTTCGACGGTGCCGTCAACGCCAATTTCAACTGAAGGCACTATCCCTTCTCATAACAATTTTCATCCTGTATTCGAGAGGAAAATCATCTGATTCCAAAACAACCGTCATCCGGTTGCAGCCATCATCCGAAAAAGCGTTTTCGGTGTTTTGTTTTGAATGGTCTGAGGTTTCATTCGATCAAAGGATGATGTTTGTGTACAGTGTATGTGCGTGCCCACGGTTAGAAAAAAGTGCCCAAAATTAAGTTCTTTTCACTCATCTCGGCACTATAGTGCAGGAACCCAAAAGTAGGTAAAGCGGGTCAAAGTAATTTTCATTTACTTGTGTGCAATTCGTATGGAATTTTCCACTAGCTTTCAATCCAAAAGTAAGTTAGTTGTACCCAACAGTAGGTAAATATGATTATACTTAACGTTGGGTTCCCACACTTTACTACCCCTGTTGGGTGGTTTTGCTCCTCAGTTTTTGACAACATTAGAAGGAGAAAAGGAGACAAACTAGTTGAAGATGCTAATTTCAAATAACAGACTGTAGTGGTAATTTTTATACGATAGATGGAGTAGATGAAAGCATAGAGTTGATAGTTCCGTTAGAGTACGGCAGTGTGAAGATTGTATATAGATATTAGAATAGCGAACTAGGACAACTTTTAAGGAAGGTACAAATCGGTTTTTTCATCTCTCTTTACCAAACTCCCCCTTTGGAGAGGGATGGTGAGGGCAACTATCAACTCTATGCTTTCATCTACTCCATCTATCGTATAAAAATTACCACTACAGTCTGTTATTTGAAATTAGCATCTTCAACTATGTAAATCGTTGACTTCACGTAGAAGTAATACTAAAAACATACACAGCAAAAAAAGTTGTTGAATATTACATCGAAACTGCTGCAACCAGGTCAATCCTACCGACTGCGCCATTGTCGTGACCGGACCGAGGTTTCCAGCCTCGGTCACGGCTACACGAATCTCGGCTGCTATGCTTCACTGCAGCTGATGCTGTTCCTGCTGCTGCTGCTACTACTGCTACTGCTGCTACTGCTGCTGCTGCTGCTCGTCCGTCGTCTTCAACGTTCGTCACAAGAATGACTTCTGCAAGCTTAGGTAGCCCATATTTATACCCAAAGAATGTTCCCCCTTTTACACAGCGCTGATAGCTGTCTCGGGATTTGCCCTCACAAAGCAATGATAATTAGATTTTATTTACATTCACGCTTATTTGGGTTTACTCAAATTCAGCGTCTCATTACTTGACTTAATTTTCATTTTTTTAAGCATTATTATTTCACACCTACTATATCTACCACAAATCCCTCGGTTGTGTAATATCACATTGTACGATGTACATCGATTTTGCGAACAAAATTACATCCATTGATGTAAAATTGTATCTGCTTTTTGCTATTACATCATTATTTCATACATCAGCTTGAATTACGTTGATCGATATTACATTTTTTTTTGCTGTGTATAGTCAAAGAGACAAACTAGTCAAAAGTAGGTAAAAGTGAACTGGCCGTTGGGTACTTTTTTCTTACCGTGTAGAAGGAGAAAAGGAGACAAACTAGTCAAAAGTAAGTAAAAGTGAACTGGCCGTTGAGTACTTTTTTTTAACCGTGAAGAATGATGCCTCTATTTTGATTTTGACATTTGCTCTTCAGTTATCAAAATGGCGTCCAAGCAAGAGGAGCAACGCATCATAATTTTGCATGCGCATCGCAAAAATCCAAACAACTTGCACGCCGAGTTAGCGAAATCGTTAAAAGTGGCCAAATCAACTGTCATCAAAGTAATAAAAGTGTTCGAAGATCGTTTGTCGACAGCCAGGAGGCCTGAATCGGGAGAAAATCAAAAGCTGGAAGCCACAGCGACGTCAAAAAGAGTGGCCAGCGGTTTATACTGACATGCAGGTTTAAAAAACCTGTTTAAAATACTGAATTGCCAAGGCAGGAACAATGTAAAAACAATTAGATATATATCATAACAATTAAGGCTGGTAAGTTACTGTAGTAACTGGAGCACCTAGGTTAAAATGAAATGTAATTTATTTTGAATATGGAACAAATAAAGAGTTAAAAAAAAGTGGTCAGCGGTTTCAAGCGGAACCCTAACCTCTCCGTCCGAGATGTCGCAAACAAGCTGGGAGTGTCGTCTTCAACCGTGCATCAAGCTAAAAAATTAGCCGGACTGTCGACTTATAAGATGATAGTGACTCCAAATCGCAACAATAAACAAAACAAGATGGCCAAAACACGATCTCGAAGACTGTACACGACGATGCTGACGAAGTTCGATTGCATGGTAATGGACGACGAAACCTACGTCGTTATACGGCAAACGGAAGCAGAAAGATGGCAGACATGTTCAAACATATGAAACTGTCGAAGTTCACCAAGAAATATCTGGTTTGGCAGGCTATCTGTACCTGTGGCTTGAAAAGTGACATTTTTATTGCAACCGGGACCGCAAACCAGCAAATTGATGGGCCCAATGTGAATTGGGCTTTTTTGCGTGAGTTGAAGTTGGACGTTCAGAAAGGTTATGAGAAGCTAATGGATGGGGGGAGCTGTGTATTGCATATTTTACATGACGCATTCAAAAATGGTGTTGGTAGCACCGTTTGGGATATTGTCAAATATTTACGTATTTACGTCTAGAACAACCTCAAAGATGTACCAGCAAGACGAGCGCTTTTCACGATGTATTCCGAATGTACCATATTTCCGACAAAGTTTTGCGGCCACCGATGGTTGGAAAACAGTGGTGTTGTTCAGAGGGCAATCGAAAATACCCCGCTAGTTCGAAAATTTATCCAAGGAGTGCAGAAAGACAAAATTGAACCAACATCAATTTCATACCACGATGTTAAAAATTGTTTGGATGACCCGCTGCTGACGGCTAAGCTGGGTTTCTTCAAATCAGTTGCTGTTGCGCATTTCAGATGGACAACCCTATGGTGCTTTTTTCTTACAAGTGGTTCGAAACATTATGGAATGGTTCATTAAGATTGATCATTTGAACAAAATTGAGCAGGTAAGCTGTGACGAAGGCCGCATCGTGTCTTGATCCGGCAGTGCGAACTCAAAGTTGGCTAAAAAGCGGCAGTGAAGCAATTCCGAACTATTGAAGTGACCAAGCACGATAAGTTTGATCAATATGATCGCAAAACGGAACGACTGGACGTTTTTTGGTACTTTTTTTTTTTTTTTTTTTTTTTTTTTTTTAATTCTTTATTTAAGAGATTTTTAGCCTTAGGCTAGTTCATCTCTAATTTTTTTGGTACAGATTGTTGATTGGAGAAGCGTATTCAGAACTATTGTTGGTGGTAAAAATGATGTGCTGCTTATCACATGGCAATACACATGACCTCTGCTGAGAGAGGTTTTTCGATAAATGTAGAATGTCTTTTTGAAAATATTAAGGAGGAGTCAGTCGTAGCTCGACATCAGATCTATGATGGTGTTACTCATGCAGGTGGGAATTTTCAAATTTCGAATGAACATATTCAGCGAGTCCCAAGTTCGCATTCACTTAATACGGAAAACAAGGATCGTCGTAAAAAAGAAGCCATTCAGACAAAGCGAAGTTGTTGAAGCGACAGAGAGAAGCAGAAGCGAAACATAAGCGAAGAAAAATATTTAAAAGATGCTCAAAAGGAAGCTAAGGCAAAATTGTTCTGCTAAAGTCTTAAACATTTTTAAAAATAATCCGAACATAAACACAAAATCGTCTTTTAATGCCTCGATATTATAAGAACTCATTAAACTAATAAAATGGTGCTTGGTGATAGTTTAAGCGATTGTTTTAAATATAAATGATCATTGTACTACGGTATAATGAGGTTAAAATAACTGAATTTTTCTGGAAAGTCAGGGAATTTTTTCTTCCGACTCTAAGTCGGCACCCTGTCTGAAATTCCTAATAGTTTTAACCGTTTGTGACCATTCTGATAATTTTCTTCCACGATTCAAGTTTGAAAAGCGGACAAAGCTTACACACTTTGTTTTGTTTGCCGAATCACGGTAGTTTTGGCACCGCCGTGCAGCTCGGCAAAAAGATTCACTGAGATAATAGCAAAAAAACTAAGTAGATAGGATTTGCAGGGGAGGAAACCGTGGTTTGATCATGTAGTATTACATCTTATTTTGGATTCAGATTGTTAAAACCATAAGCTATGATATGATTGTTTTTTCTCCACCACAATAAAAAAACAGGTTATATACAAGATTTTTATTTGACCATTAGTATTTATTTGGTATCATAATCAAATATAGTTATGGTTCGCTTCTATTATATTCAATTTAGATCCTGGTGACGATTGAAGGGTTGAAATTACAACGATCATGTTTTTTTTGCAATGAAGATACATCTGAATGTTGCAACATACTTTTTCCATTTCTTTTTTGTTTTTCCATAGCCTTAAGCTCCAAGGGGCAATAGCCTCGAATAACAAGTATGCGCAATCACACTGTTGTTGACAATGATGATGCGGTCGTCTTATTACGATTATTGGTAGTTTATCGAAAGATAATTCCTCTTGAAGCTTGCAGCTATGAAAGTGAAATTATTTTTTATGAATGTATTTTTGCTTGTTTTAAAATTGTTTCCTTAATTACGATATTTTTGAGGGGAGTATTTTCTGCTTATATTTTATTCATATATTTATGTCTCACTACTTTTCCAAAGTTACGCCCAGATGTCTTGGAGCCGAACATTAAAACAATTAATCTTTGGCCTGAAATTTACAATATTTTTGACTCCGGACTGTTTTATCTTTCGTGTGATTTGTTGCTGTTGCATGTCATTAGTAAAAAACTGAAACTGAAGCGGATTTGTAGTCAAACAAAGTTGTAGAGCTTTTTCCTGTGAAAACATTGTTTTGTTGAATTGGTTTAGGTCTATTTTGAACTATTGGTTTGTATCATATCTATGGCTATTTCTTCATCTGTCTGTGTAAATATGGAATCAATGGAAGATGAATGGCTTTTCTGTCAACGTAATTTTCTCCTGGCAGCCAACGCCATTCACCTTAAATGATTTTTGAGCTAGCTTTATGGTATTCTAATTATAACTTGTGGCACTGTGTGAAGAAATGGGAAACGAGGCAATCTTGTTTTTCATGAAACGATTGTGAAAGCCGTTTCGTGTAAACACTAGTTTCCTTAGTTTCACATTTTTGTAGTTTGTTGCATTGTAAAAATGAAATCAAAATTTTAAAACAAAAACAAGCATAATGTATCCATTCTATTGGCTTATTGCACGGAAGGAATTGATCCTTACATCTTACAACATTGGTTTCCTGCAATCAATAATTGTAATAATGGTAGTACGTCTGTTTAATAAAATTCATACTTAAAATCACTGTCAACAACATTATTTTCAAGCATGCTCGTAGTACTTTGAGTACTTACTACTCATTAGCTCACGTCCGTACTGTTTCCTGTGTATTCTTTATGTGTTATATACCTTTTGTAAATATAACAATAATAATCTGCCCGTTCTACAATCCACTGCCGCTTACCGACAGTGTGAATCATTATGTACACACAGATGTTTGCTTTATATTTTTTTATGGGGATTGATTTCTTTCTGCAGATATCCTTTATTAAAATTACGAACAAAAATTTTGCCCTGTATTGTGTCATATGTACGAATGACTTTTCATAAAAATATTGTAAATTTCTTCAACTCGGGTTTCAACCTTAGATTTCTGCACTTTATTAAAGTGTTTTTTTTTATCTCTTTCTCTATTACACCAGAACTTTGCATACATATTCACGTTCTTTTGTCTGTCAAATTCTTTTGGCTGGTTTTAAGAATTTCTAGTTGAAATAATCGCCAACGAGCAATTAAATTCTGCTTTAAACACATAAACTATGCTGGTATATAATGTTCACAATAGGGGACACACACACTTATTTTGGGTTTTGAATTTTTCTTCTCACAAAATTGTAATATTTTGCATTTTTTTTTTCAATTCGAGATTATGCTTATTTCTCTGGTATTTGATAAAACTTTTTTTATGATAATTAAATAATTGCAAAGTGCGGTAATTAGTTTTTTTT